AAAAATACATTCAATTGAATTGCTGTGCTGCGTTGCTGTTCCTAAACCAACAGAACGGATACTCGGTGACCACAGTTTTGCACGGTTGGTTGCATCCTCCCCCTCTCACACATTGCCTTCTGTGGGAGTTATCTTGTGGTGTACTTAGTGTGAACAGTGTGGCCCGCCCCACACACACACATTACGTACATCCATGTGCATCAGTGCATGCAAAACATAGATGGTGACAACGTCTGTGAAGAGGCCACCAGGTGCCATGTTGTGGAATTCTCTATGAATCACGTTTGAGTCACCAGCAGCAGCAGCAGCAGTTTCATCTGTACACCCAGAGGAGCATCCTCACGGGAGCACGCACACTCGCACGCACGCAGGCACACACACACACACACACGCACACGCACACACGTAGGCAGGCACACACACACGCACAAACACACACACACACGCCCACACGCCCACACACACACACACACACACACACGCACACACACGCACACACACACACGCACACACACACACACACGCACACGCCCACACACAGGCACACACGCACACGCCCACACACACACACACACATACACACACGCACACGCACACACACGCACACACGCCCACGCAGGTTCCGATGATGAAACGTATCAGTTGGTTTTGTTGTTAGTCGGCCGACTTGTTTATGAGTGTTGTTGTTTTTGTCCACAGGCCTGAAGTCAGTTCCACACAGGAAATGGATCTTGTCTCTGACATGATTATTTTACCTCCTCCGGACCTTTATGCCGACTTGAGCGTGGAGTGAATATTAAAGGTGAGAATGAACATATCACGCCACATCGTTCGCTTTAGCTTTATATTTTTTTGTATTTGTAAGATTTTCTATTATTTAATGATTATTTTATTTGTATTTAATATTATCTATTTTTTATAAAATAACAAAATGTTTTTTGATTTTATTTTATTTAAACTTCATTCGACTTTGCTTTATTTATTTATTTATTTTTAAGTGAATTTTATTTTACATAACTTATAATATTATTTCACTTTATTTTATTTCATTAACTCAGCACCTTTTCAGTTTGCTTCCTTTTGTTGTGTTGTTGTTGCTGACGGAGACTGACGTTAAATGCTAAACACAAAAGCCACCAACGCGACGTTTGTTTCTGTTTCCTGTGACAGGACAGAGAGGCAGGGAAAGGATTGTTTGTTGTTGTTGTTGTGGACACGGTGGACCTCGTCCGTCCCCTCAGGCTGTGACTCCATCGTCTGGACCAAGACCTTATTCACCTGGTGACTGCACTTCAACGTGAAACCAAAGAGGGCAGCTTCTATTGGGTGAGACTTGAACCTTGGGGACAAGCTGGACCAAGGAAAGGACTCACTCAAGACAATTACACACTTCCTGTGAAAATACACACAATTAATATGGTGTAAATTGCAAATGTGGACATGTGCCATTTTCCTGAGAAAATACAAAAGACAGAAACCTCTTTTTTTCCTCAGTGTTTATTTCTTCTGGATCCCCGTTTGTGTCCTAAACACTTGTTACCAGTTTACAGTGTTAGTGGCAAAAGAGTAAATAAATTATAGGTGATAAACACACAACTGAATGAAGTTAAAGGGGCCGTGTGTAGGATGCAGTGGCACCTGGTGGTGAGGTTGTAGATTGCAGCCGACTTGCCCTCCACCTTCAGACCCCCATGTGATGGAGAACTAGTGTGACCTGCAGGGAATTCAAAAGCTTAAAGCTGCATTCTGTCTCCTGACCAGCAGGGGGCGACTCCTCTGCTCCCATAGACGTCTATGAGGAAATGACTCTAATCCTTTAATAACCTGATATGTGTGAGTGTATATATATATACACACACTCATTAACATTGTAAGACAACCTTAAGCATTTAGTTTTTGTATTAGTTTTTTATTTTATTTTATTTTTTTCTACTTTTATTTACTCTTGTTATTTTGTTAGATACTTAAAAATGGAAATGCCCGTGTCATATTATGTACAGTATAAACTACAGTATATACTGAGCCTCTAATGTGTTTTTACTGTAATAATGATTAGAATCGTTAATACTGAACCTTTAAGAATTCTGTCACGTCTTCGTATCTTAAACTCCATAAACTTCTTTCTTTGATTTTTATGCAGCGTTTTAACAACTTTGTTTCTACAACTGATGAATAAAAAGTGTTAAAGAGAAAGTAGTGTGATGATCGAGTGTAGGTCTGAAAAAACACAATAATCCTGTGTGTTTCTGATTGCGTGTGTGTGTGTGTGTGTGTGCGACACTGACAAAGCCAGGAGAACCTTTTATCCTTATAAATGTCTATTTATTGTTTTTCAATAAATATTTATTAAAGTGCAAATCATAACAGCAACATCATGCAGTGCATCACAGGAATAAAGCCAAACCCCCCACACACACACACACACACAGACACACACACCACAGGGATGAACACAGTAGAGCTCACTAACGTGCCACTGCTAGTTGCATACAGTTGTGATTGTACAGCAGCACGTCTGATGGTAAATCCTGGTCACATGACTTGCGACGTCTGACCCATGATGCATAGCGGGTGGTTGTCGGCCATGGGGACACGCCAAGACCGCCAATCACAGGTTCGACTGATCGTGGAACAAATAAGTTCATTTTTTGGGGATTCCCTCAGGTAACACGGTCAGGACCGGATGAGTAACTACGTCCGTCTCTGGGACACACGGGGGCAATTAGACAGACACACAACAAACATGTATCAACCAGAAACAACGACAAATTACTCACACACACACACACACACACACACACTCTGCATTCTTTACGGTTTCTGTGTTCTGTCCCTGCGGCCGATACACAACGTCTCTTGTGGAACTCGTTTAATGACATTCTGTACACGCATGAGAGCGCGAGTGTGTGTGTGTGTGTGCTGCGTGTTCATAGGATGTTTGTGTGTTTGAACACTCATAACAACAACAATATATCTGTTGTTGGGACGTCCCGGCTTATTAACCTTCTTACATCATAACGTGCTGAAAGGATCAAACTACAGCGCCTAGAAAAATAAACAGGGCTCTGATATCTAAATAATAATCATCCTCTTTCTGGTGTATAAAGTCTGTTGTTTCTTCTATTCTGCTAATGATTGTAGTATAAATATAAAAGGCCATAAAATATCAATTTAATAAGTGGTGTCCTTCCCTCAGATTAATATCAACTGATAAGAAAATAAGCAAAACTGACGTCCAGTCAGTGTCAGAGGGGATGGGGGGCATCAGCTAATAGACCCCCCCCCACGTTGGCATCCGGTCTCAGCGGGCCAGCGTGGTGATCAGACTAGCGCACATTTCAAAGAAGTCCATGGTGTGCGACCCCTGGCGGGGGGGCAGCAGGGGGGCGCTGCTGGACAGCGAGCCGGGGAGGGAGGAGCTGAGCTGGAGGAGGTCGGGGGCCGAGTCGATGCTCAGTCTGGGTCTGTGGAGGCCGGCCGTGGAGCCCGACCTCTGGGGGGTGGACGTGCCCGACTTGAAGCCCGCCGCCTCCATGATGTCATCTGTGTGGGGAGGGGGGTCATGATTAGGACTTCACTGAGCAGGTGGTTGGAAGCTAACGGTGCTAACAATGCTAGCAGTGTCATGTCCCCCCAGCAGAGAAGCTCAGGCAGCTACAGACATTCATCTGGTATCTAAATCAAGCGTCATATTAATGGTCTGAATATCTCACAAAGCCCCTCCATGTGTTCGCGTTTCTTCTACTCAATAATCTGTGTTGGCGTCGCCGCGGAGACGTGACCCACCGTCGATGCTCTTGAAGTCCAGCAGGTAGGACCTGCTGTCCACCTGGTACAGCTGCAGGCTCATCTTCACCAAGGTCCCGGTCACTGGGTTCTTCCTCCGCACCCGCAGGTGATACGGGTTCACCACCTGGGGCGGCAGAGGACACGCACTGTGAATGTGTGTATACGTGTGTGCGTGTGTGTGCATGTGCGTGTGCGTGAGCCCACCTTCCAGGTGAAGCTCAGCTGCCTCATGGCCCGGTACACCTCGGCCATGATGTCGTGGGGGGGGCTCTGGCTCCGGATGCCCAGGTGCCACTTGGCCTTCTTCACGGCCAGCGGTTTGGGCCGCGTGGTGTTGAGCGCGTCCAGGGGGCAGCGGGTCTTGGGGCTGTCGGCCAGCAGCGGGGGCATCCTCTCCGGGTGGGGTTTCACCCCGGGGGGCAGCGGCATGCCCTCCTCTATGAAGGAGCCCTGGGGGGGGCTGGAGGCCAGGTAGAACTCGCTGGCCTCGGTCATGATGCGCCCGGTTGTCTATGATGAGGTGATAGGCGACCGCCAGCTGATCCTGGGTCAGACGGGGTCGGTGTCAAGTAGATGTTGTGTGATTGGCTGATGTTACAGAGCGACGCTCTTTCCTCATAACGTGTCTTTGGTTTTATTTGGGTCATCAGGTACAAACAGGGAAGCGTTTGACCTCATTTAAACCTGCGATAGCATCAGTACTATTATTCATTCTTAGAACAATAAAGAAGCAGAATCCCTTTGGGCTGTTTGTGTGGTCAGCTGTGAGGGGGCGTGGCCTGGCCAGTGAATAATAATCCCGCTTGGTGCCCCACGTTGGTGGGATCAGCCACAGTACATCTTCTGATCCGATTGTCATGAGGATCACAAAGCAGCTCTAAAGATACCGAGCAGCTAAAGGAAAGCGGAGCGGCTTGATCTCCTGAGGAGATCACAGACATAAAGTGTTTTCTGTGATGGACCATCGCGTACCTGAGGGTCCCCGCTGTACAGGCTGGACATGAACTCCGACTCGGTGCATTCAAACTTCTCACACACCTCCCTCACGGCCTCCTCGTCCAGCACCGAGGCGTCGTACGAGGGGTCCTCGGGGAACATGTAGCCCGGTAGGTCCTGCTTGAACCACTCGTGTTCCCTGGGGGGGGGGGGGGGCGGTTACAGTGATGGTCACAGGTCAAAACCAAAGGGGGAGGCTACAGTTTGGACAGAAGTCTCCAGGAAGAAGAAGAAGAATTTAAAGTGATGGGGGGTCACCTGATGTCTTTGATGGTGGCTCTCTTCAGAGGGTCCACCTGCAGCATGAACTTGAGCAGCGAGGCCACGGGTCGGGTCAGGTACTCCGGCATGTAGAAGACGCCTCCTCTGATCTTCTTGAACAGCGTGGGCACGTGCTCGTCATCGAAGGGCAGCGTGCCGCACAGCAGGGCGTACAGGATCACCCCGGAGCTCCAGATGTCCACCTCTGGGCCCGCGTACAACCTGCGGAGGACGTCAGCCATTAATGCGCAGCTTCCTCTGGCCTACAGGGGGCGGTAGTGCACCAGGAGATGCTCAGGTGTAGGGTAATCGATTTGATAATCGATTAATCAAACGATTATTTCTTTGATTAATCGATGAATCGGATAAAAAAAAAAATAATTAAAAATGTCCAACCCTTTATTCTAAAACAGCAAATTCACATTGCAAAAATACTTCAGAAAGTCCACAAACAGGTTGCTCCTGGAACATAATAATAATTCATAAAAAGTAAAGTTTTAACGTCAGAACTTGTTCTCAATACTACACTCAGACGCACACACACTCCGAAACACACACCCATGGTCACTTGAAGCTTATACACTGAAGCGTAAAATAGTCGTCGCGGTCCGTAGTCGGTGCACAAGAACCACCGCTGCGCCGATGCGCGCGTTCTGGGTTGGTGGATGACGTCATCATGACGCGTTAATATCCGCCGTACTTTGTCTGTCTGTTGTCTGTCAGCTGCGGGCGGATTTAGGGGGAAAAGTATCGTGACTTCGTCAACCACCAACATGTTTGTCTCGCCTCGTTAACGAAAGTTAGAATAGATTTAGTCATAGTTTTTCTTTTTTAAGATCGTTTTCGTCACGTCTTAGTCGTGGAAAAATTTTCGTCATAGTTTTCGTCAACGAAATGAACACTGACACACACCTTCCTGAGATGACCTCGGGGGCAGCGTAGTTCGGGGAGCCACAGCTGGTCCGTAGGAACTCCCCGTCTGACATCATGTTGGACAGACCTGTTGGCCCACAACAACACACATGAAGGTTCTGCAGCCCCCCCCCAGTGATCCCATCACTGCGACCGATCTCGATCCTCCGGTCAAACTCGCCATGACCCTGAACACAAAGCTCCTCCCCCCTTATCTCTGCCTCCTGCTCCTTTAACACTTTTTACTGTTGCTGTCAGAACCCCCCCCGCCCCCCTCTCCCTGCCCTGCTCCTTGCCTATCGAATGACACTGGGCCTCAAGGCTCCCTGCAAACATGATCTGAGACCCCCCCCAGACCCCCGCTTGCTAAACCCCCTGTACAAAGTATTTCCCTCTCTCAAAGTGTTATTGCATCAGCCAATCGGATGAGAAATTAATTCTGATTGGATAACGAGGACAACGGGTCTGTGATCTCAGGTCCATTCCTCAGATGACTCTTCATCTCCGTCCCACTTTGTCTTGACCCCCACGAACATCTCAATAACTGCCTCCGGCTGGGCCCGGGGCTCCTACCAAAGTCGGCTATCTTGGCGTTCTTGTTGGCGTCCAGCAGGACGTTCTCTGGCTTCAGGTCTCTGTGGACCACCATGTGCCTGTGGCAATAGTCCACGGCCGAGATGATCTGCTGGAAGAGACGCCGGGCCTCCGTGTCCTCCACCTGCAAGACGCCATGTGGGAAGTAATGATGAGAGGGGACACGTTGTGGGGGGACACGATGTGGAAAAGAGTTCAGATTATTTTGTGTGTCTTTGTGTGAGCAGAATACCGAGCGGCTCTTAAAGTTTGATCTTTAAGATTCAAACTTAAAGATTAATGCGATATTGGCATCATTTAACACGACCTTTTAAATAACACTTAATATTTCCAGGAGTATGACACTGTGAGGGGCGGGGCTACTACACACAGGCATAGAGGGGCGGGGCTAATACACACAGGCATAGAGGGGCGGGGCTACTACACACAGGCATAGAGGGGCGGGGCTACTACACACAGGCATAGAGGGGCGGGGCTACTACACACAGGCATAGAGGGGCGGGGCTACTACACACAGGCGTAGAGGGGCGGGGCTTACTCGTCCGTGTTTGCAGATGTAGTCAAACAGCTCGCCTCCAGACACGTACTCCATCACCATGAAGAAGTCAGTGGGAGTGCTTATCACCTGGTACCTTTAAATCAGACACGACATCATCAGAATCATCAGCTCGCCTCACTGCAAGGGTGTGAGTGTGTGTCTGTGTGCGTCTCTCTCACAGCTCGATGTGTGTGTGTGTGTGTGCGTCACCCTCACAGCTTGATGATGTGCGGGTGTCTGAACAGTTTGAGGTTCTGGATCTCTCGTTTGATCTTCCCCACCACGTCCAGGCTGCGGATCTTCTGCCTGTTGAGGATTTTCACGGCCACTTTGTGTCCCGTCAGCTGATGCTGGCCGACTGCAGCGCACCACATGACACACGATAAACTGTTATTTATGCTCTGTTATCAGAGCTTCTGACTGTTATTATACATTTTGAATATTAAAGGAAACTAGAACGTCCTATTAGTTTTTCAGGATTTCATAAACAGCAGGTTTCAACATGACTGTTTTATAATAACAATTATAAATATTTATTATACATCAAATAATACATCAAAACATGAGTTGTGGCATATTAACACACATGGAGACGTAATCAACAGCATTATCTAAACACGGACTGAATTCCACTGTAATATGTGATAAATAGTGAGTGACCCCCCTCCTCGCCCCCCGCGAGCTGCGCGCGCATCCCGCGCGTCTGGAGTTGAAGCTCACAAGGTCACGCGGCCGAAAACTAGCTTAAGAAAAGATAAACATCGGCTTAACGAGCTAACAGCGTTAGCATAGCGACCCGTTCACGGGTCCCACGCACGTCCTGTAACGCGCTGCGGGGGGGGGCGTCATTAACGGCAGTTATGTGAGCGCGCACCTGCCCGGTAACCGGTTCACCGGTTTCAACCCGGCTGTCACTTAACTCTTCACTTTGCCGAACGTCCCCACACCGAGCGTGTCCCCCAGCAGGTAATGGCCGATCTTCACCCCGCCGTCGTGCTTCTGCCGCTCTGCCATCTTCCTCCGGTAACCGGGAGGGTGTGCGTGTTTACACCGACGGGGAGGCGCGGAGGGGCGGGGCGGGGCAGAGAGAGAGAGAGAGAGAGAGAGAGACTCAGAATGCAGTACTTTTCTTAGTACTCATATTGTAGTTTACTTAATTTAATTCTGTCTGCTTTTCATCAGACGTCAAACATCAGAAGAGTTTTTGACGTAGTTTCATAGTTATGTTCTTTTCATATTTTCTAACATGTGACCACCATCTTGATAAGACTGACATGACATTGTATTACTGCTACTAAACGAGTGATTCTGAATGATTCTAAAGCGTCAAACTTTTAGGAACAAGAAATGGAGTTGAGAGGTTCGTGTTATTTAAGTTGTTTATCCGCTAGGTGGCAGCAGAACTTTAATTTATCCACCGCGCTGTCACATGAAAAGCTCCAAAGGGAGAAATGAAGTAATTAAATACACGTTGTTTCACAATACAAACAAACACTAGACTAAATCATATAAATGCGTTGTTCTCATTAAACAACAGCTAAAGAAAATGGATAATGGCAATGAAACCAATTATGAATGAAAAATGAATGAATGAAAAAAAAATGTTTTCAAGTATATGGTGTATATATATTCAAATTTATACATCATATCAATATTTTGACAATAGATAACTTAATTCATTTGAAACTTCAGTAACTCAAATAATTACTTTGGCCAGAGCTAAAATGCTAAAATTTACAGCGTATTTCCAAAATAAAATTGCTTGGCAGTTTAATTGTTGTAGTTGTTGTAGTAGCTTTCTGTCTCTTTGTAGTAACTTTCTGTCTCTTTGTAGTAACGTTCTGTCTCTTTGTAGTAACTTTCTGTCTCTTTGTAGTAACGTTCTGTCTCTTTGTAGTAACGTTCTGTCTCTTTATATTAACTTTCTATCTCTTTGTAGTAACTTCCTGTCTCTTTGTAGTAACTTTCTGTCTCTTTGAAGTAACGTTCTGTCTTTTTGTAGTAACGTTCTGTCTCTTTGTAGTAACTTTCTGTCTCTTTGAAGTAACGTTCTGTCTTTTTGTAGTAACGTTCTGTCTCTTTGTAGTAACTTTCTGTCTCTTTGTAGTAACGTTCTGTCTCTTTGAAGTAACGTTCTGTCTCTTTGTAGTAACGTTCTGTCTCTTTGAAGTAACGTTCTGTCTCTTTGAAGTAACGTTCTGTCTCTTTGAAGTAACGTTCTGTCTCTTTGTAGTAACGTTCTGTCTCTTTGTAGTAACGTTCTGTCTCTTTGAAGTAACGTTCTGTCTCTTTGTAGTAACGTTCTGTCTCTTTGTAGTAACGTTCTGTCTCTTTGAAGTAACGTTCTGTCTCTTTGAAGTAACGTTCTGTCTCTTTGCAGTAACGTTCTGTCTCTTTGTAGTAACGTTCTGTCTCTTTGTAGTAACGTTCTGTCTCTTTGAAGTAACGTTCTGTCTCTTTGTAGTAACGTTCTGTCTCTTTGAAGTAACGTTCTGTCTCTTTGTAGTAACGTTCTGTCTCTTTATATTAACTTTCTATCTCTTTGTAGTAACTTCCTGTCTCTTTGTAGTAACTTTCTGTCTCTTTGTAGTAACGTTCTGTCTGGCCAATGAAACATGCTTTCACATTTGTTATAAAACATGGACTTGTGTAACCTGATTAAATATTATAGAAATGTTTGCTTTGATTATAGGATGAAAATAGATACATATGTGCATATATATGTATTTATATTCTACAGTATATTACAGTTTTTCTCAGTCGCTTTGGTACATTTCTCAGATTAGAATTGAAATTCTCATCATTGTGTCACTTGTGCACCTCAAAAAAGTAGCTTCTCATTTCTTTGAACAAGTTGCAAATGCTTTGGTGCGTCCGTGCAGATGGTCATGTACAATTCTCTGCTGTTTCTACATTATCAATTGTTAATGTCATGTTGATCAAAATGTATTATAGTGAATATCTCACACTCCTCAACATTTAGGCACTAGCACATCGCAGAAGTTCATGCAAAATTGTTGTATTTCTATACATTTGCATTGGACTTAAATTGGCAAACTGCTCCCAGGTGAATCTTGAATGTCTTTAACGGAGGTGCGTCTCATGAACCATCAGATGCCAAAACGCAGTGTGAAGACCAGCGTGTCGTACCGCGCCCGGCCGACAGGGGGATGGACGCGCTTACCCACCGCCACAGGGGGGAGGAGAGGGGGAGAGATAGGAGAGGGGGGGCTATCCTCGGAGCGTCGGGGGGGGGGACTTGAAGAGCGCGGAGAAGGAGGAGGAGGAGGAAGAGGAGGAGGAGGAGGTAGGAGGAGGAGGAGGAAGATATAAGCGGAGCGGCTGTCGATGCGCAGCGTTCCTCTCTCTGACCATCAACGCGTCTAAAACAGCGGAGCGCACGAGACAACTTTCTCCTCA